GTAATGGCTCCCACCTGCACCTCCCCTGGTTGCGTCTTCCCAGCATCGCGCGACTGGCTCGGCTGCAAGTCAGCGTACCGCTGAGCAAGGGGGCTTTCTTTAGTAAAGCATTCTTGACTTGCTTTTTTTGATCGCCCACACTGGCCACACGGGATTCTAGAGACGGCGTCGGCGTTCGTGTGCTTCCTACCCGCCCGATGTTCCACATGGAACTTGTAGCACCCCAGCCTCTGAATCCACCTGGCCGTCTGCCCCTCGGGTTCGCGGAAGTTGAACAGCCATCGCAGCGATCCGTGATCCGTTCGGAGCAGGAACCGTTTACCAAGAAGGTAGTGTTTGAAATAGCGACAAATGGACCACGGCCAGCAACTCTCTCCGAGTGGTACAGTAGTTGCGTTCGGCCTAAAACAGGGTACGGCTGCCATAGGCGACCACTCGTTCACCATCGTCCCCCTCCTACGACAGCACTGCTCCGATGGTGCAGTAGCTGGCATCTGTGTCCAGGACGTAGCGGCGCTCCGTATTCGGGTAGCACAACACGGGTGCGGTGGTCAATGCGTCCTTGAGGTGCTCGAATGCTGACTGGCAAGCACTCGACCAGGAGAACGCCCTTTGGCTCTTGGTGGTAAGGGCATGGAGGGGGCGAGCAATCTCGGCGAAGTTCGCAATGAAGCGCCTGTAGTAGGACGCGAGGCTTAGGAAACTCCGTACTTGAGTCAAGTTTGCTGGTTGCGGCCAGTTCCTGATGGCCGCGACCTTTTCCGGATCCGTCCTTAATCCCTCGGCCGACACGAGGTGACCCAAGAAGGACACCTCCGTCTTGAAGAGATCGCATTTCTTCGGTTTAAGCTTCAGGCCGGTGGCTCGGAATCGCTCCAGGACCGTGGTCAGCCGCTTGTGGTGTTCCTGGAAGTCTGGCCCCCACACGATCACGTCATCCAGGTAGACTACCGCCACCTGCCACTGCAACCCCCTCAACACAGGGCATAACGGTGAACTTGTACAGGCCGTTCTGCATCCCAAAAGCCGTCTTCTCCCGTTCACCCTGGTCCATGCCGACTTGCCAGTAGCCACTGGCCAGATCAAGGGTGCTGAACCATTTCTTTCCGCTCAAAGCGTCAAGGTTGTCCTCGATTCTGTGGATGGGGTAGGCGTCCTTCATCGTCACCTCATTGACTTTCCGGTAGTCGACGCAGAACCGGACAGACCCATCCTTCTTCCGGACCAGCACCACCGGGGATGACCAAGGGCTGTGGGAGGGCTCGACCACGCCATACTGCAGCATCTGTTTTAACTGCCGGTGGGCTTCTTGCCGCGATGTATCGGCAATCTCCTCGGCGGTTGACGTATAGGCGTTGCTGTCCCTGTATTTATTGTGTGTCGGGTCAGTTCGGTCTGACCAAGTTTCCCGTCCGGGCCAGTGAATGCTCCAGCGAATTCCGTCAGCAATTCAGCCAGTTGGGAAGGTCAAGGTTCGCGCCTCCTCGCTCCAGGAGGTCTTGCAGATGGGGCGGTACCTCTCTGGGCATCCGTCCTCTGTCCAGTGTCACCCAAAGGGAGGTGATTGAAGGCAGATCCTTGTTGACCGTCCTCCAGCTCGATCTGTGTCAACCAGGCCGGTAGCGACCACCACCGGGCAATTGTCCGTAGCCTCCAAGCTGGAGTAAACCATCCCGACTCCCATCCGTGGTTCAGTCTTCATCTCCCCCGTGAGGATCGCCTCGTGACCAGCTTGGATTATCATGTTCTCCGTCACCTGCACTCTCGCCACCATGGGTTTGTTGCGTAACACCTCCCAAGGGGACTGCCTTCCCGTTAATGATGACAGCGTTGTCTCCTCATCGCCATTCGTAGTGATACTTTGACAAGAAATCAATTCCGAGTATCACGTCTGGCTCGATATCGGCCACGGTAAAGGTGTGGTTTGCGCGCAGATCCCCCACTTGTAGGTCGAAGTTGCCCCCCCCCTCTTGTCGGCATGGGGCTGCCGTCCGCCATCCTCAGAGCTGGAGATGACGGAAGGAGGTTCGGTCTCACGGCACCAGGCCAGGCGTTGTAGATTCGCTCCGAGATCAGACTCACTGTTGCTCCGGTGTCTAGGAGGCAACGCACTGGTTTCCCCGCGATCCTCCCCGCCACGTAATTCGCCTGAGACGTCCCACCCGAGGCTGGCCTGGCCCGAACAGCCGGCTCCGGAACAGGAAGTTTCGGTATTTCCTCTTTCTGTGGTCGTGGTTGGAAGGAGGCAGACTGCCGTTTCTGATGAGGGCAGTACCGCCTGATGTGTCCAAATTCGTGGCACCCATATCACTCCACCTGGGCACGCGCACCTGGTGTGTACACGGCACAGGCAGCCGATTTGGGTTCCTCGGCAGGGGTTGGAGGAGGCTGGGCTACCGACCTCACGTCCCTAGCCATCGGTTTCCCTTTTCTGTTTTGCGCTTGCGACTCGAGAAATGCTTCCATTTCGGTCGCCAGAGTGACTGCTTCGATCAAAGTCGTCGCTTTCCTGGAGAAGATGTGACGCTGCAGCTGTTCCTCTTGCAGGGCATTGCGGAAAGCCTCGACCGCCAAATCCTCACGGGCCTGTGTGGGCAGCTTCGGGTAGCTCTTCAACACCAACCGTCGGATGGATTGTCCTAGGCTACTGAGTGACTCGTCTCGGCCCCTCGTACGCATAGACAACTGAGCCCGATATAGCGGAATCTTTGCTGTCACCCCAAACTGCTGCTCGAAGTTTTCCAAAATGGAGGAATATTTCTTTCGCGTTTCCGGTACCATATCCGCCAATGCCTCCTGAGCCGTGCCCTTTAGGTGAGATGCAAGGAACATCGCCTTCTCCACCTCGCCCCACTGATTGACTGCTGCAACACTCTCGAAATGGATCAAGTAATCCGACCATGACGAGATCCCGTCAAACTTGTTGGGGAGCATCAGTGGTCTCCGACCCCCTGGCCTGAAGTGATCAGGCGTTGTAGTCCCCCGCTTGACTGGCACTTGGGGAGCGCGCCCCCCCCCCCGCCTGTTTAGGGGCCGCCCAAACATTGGCAGAAACCGGTCCCCCCCCCCCCCCCGGAACACCGGGTGGTGACGTCCCAGGGGATCTCCCAGGGGAACTCTGCCCCATTGACTCCCGTGTGGATCAACCTCGTCGGCTCCGCACCATTGACTTGTGTGCGGAGCATCTCTGCCCCATTGACTCCCGTGCGGAGCAACCCTGCCGGCTCCGCGCCATAGACGTCCGTGCGGAGCAACTCTGTCGGCTCCGCCCCATTGACTCGTGGGCGGAGCAACTCCACGGGTTCCACTCCATTGACTCGTGTGCGGAGCAATTCTGTCGGCTCCGCCCCATAAACTCCCGTGCGGAGCAACCTCGTCGGCTGCGCACCATTGGCTTGTGTGCGGAGCAGCTCTGCCCCATTGACTCCCGTGTGGAGCAGCCTTGCCGGCTCCGCGCCATAGACGTCCGTGCGGAGCAACTCTGTCGGCTCCGCCCCATTGACTCGTGTGCGGAGCAACACCATGGGTTCCACTCGATTGACTTGTGTTCGGAGCAACTCTGTCGGCTCCGCTCCATAAACTCCCGTACGGAGCAACCTCGTTGGTTCCGCACCTTTGACTTGTGTGCGGAGCAGCTTTGCCCAATTGACTCCCGTGCGGAGCAACCTTGCCGGCTCCGCGCCATAGACGTCCGTGCGGAGCAACCCTGCCGGCTCTGCGCCATAGACGTCCGTGCGGAGCTACTCTGTTGGCTCCGACCCATTGACTCGTGTGCGGAGCAACTCTACGGGCTCCCGTCCATTGACTCGTGTGCGGAGCAACTCCACAGGTTCCACTCCATTGACTCGTGTGCGGAGCAACTCTGTCGGCTCCGCCCCATAAACTCCAGTGCAGAGCAACTCTGTCGGCTCCGCCCCATAGACTCCCGTGCGGAGCAAGTCCACCGGCTCCGTCCCATAGAGTCGTGCAGTGCGGGCCTGCTCCGAGTGGATGTCAGGACTCGCCGTACTGCGATAGTGGGGACGAGAGTACTGCTGGGGGAGATCTGCGCCCGGTTGTGCCCCCTGATGCGTGCTCGGACGGTTTCCCGCCCCCGCTATATGGGCAAATCCAGCCTGGGGGCGCCCCGAATGGGAGGCCTCACCAGTCGTAACCATGTAAGCACCAAGTGGCGCTTCCATGTAGGGCCTAGCACTATTTTCATGAGCGTAGGGATTGCGGGTTGCCCCAGGACGAAACCCCGCCCCCCGCTGCATCAACCAGCACAGCTCGGGATCGTTCCAAATGGAACGAAATGTCTGCTGCGCCAGCGTCTACAGCACGGGGCGGCCCCTCGCGGGACCCGGCATATGCGGCTTTATTACCAAGTAATTGGGGCATGTCCAGACGAAGCCCCGCCCCCGCTGCATCGACCAGCACAACTCGGGATCGTTCCGATTGGAACGAACCGTCTGCTGCGCTGCCGTCTACAGCACTGGGCGGCCCCTCGTGGGACAGGGTACCAGTCATTGATGATTTATGGTAATGAGCACACCCGCCCCCCGCAGGGGTAGACGTACTGCAATGACTTAACCCCTCGCCGAAGTCCCAAAATTCCACTTTACCATCCCCCACATCCTCCCTCATGAGAAAATCCGTCCCCAGAAACCCCCTTGTTTCCCCTTTCCTCCCACCAAAATTCCCCGGACTATCCCGCAAAAAGGATTCCAACTCGTCCAACGTGACGAAGGTACTGCCGGCCGATCCACTAGACGGGCCCCCACTTCGTGAGCCCGCACTCCAGCCTGCCTCCTCGCCGTGTGGCGAGTTAGGTGCCAGACTTCCGTGATCTCCTGAATTCATTGCAGAAAATATCTGAAAAACTCACCTGTTTTTCCGCCTTCTGCGTGCCGCCGCTGCCATTAATGTAGCGTAGAACAATTCTGGGGTTCCTCACACGCACTCAAAAAGGACTCCAACACAGGTATACTCGTTTCTGCTGGTTCTAGGCTGTTTATTCCTCACAAAAAGGGTACACCGCAAAACACAACTATTCTCTCCAGCAACGAGGCAACGACAATACTACTGTGCATACGCCGCCCGGAAGAACGGGCCTCCCAGGCCGGCAACCAGGGGCTCCACTGCGCGGCTCCACCGTGGAACTGCGCTGGTGCCCTCTGGCGGCCGACCGGCACGGACGCCACAATATCTATTCTTCTTCTACATTCATTCATTCATTTTCATGATGACTTGGGCCCAACTGTCCCTGTCGAGCATAGTGTTGGAAAGAGATGGACCACTCAGACCAGTTTCTAGCTCGATGGATGTTTTCAGGGTCATGTTGGGACGACCTTTTCGTCGAGGGGCTTCAGGATTCCAGAGGAGAACTTGACTAGCTGGCTCATTATGTCGATAAACGTGACCAACTAGCCGAAGGCGACGCTGTCTGATGGTGGTGGTGATAGGGGGAAGTGCACCATACAAAACAGAGTTAGGGAGATGTTGTTGCCAAGAAACGTTCTGAACAGCCCGCAACATCCGTGTATAGGTGCCATCAATGGACGCAGAGATCTGTTTGGTCAGGGTCCAGGACTCTACTGAGGTCTTGAAGATCTTACGTTTGGTGGTCTTGGAGATCGAGGATCTCCATACTTTGGTCAGTGAGAACAGAGCAGACCAAGCTTGAGCTTTTCTACACTCGATGTCATGAGCTGTGTTGGTGTAGGAGCCCAGATACTTGAAGTCATCAACTTTATGGAGCTTACTGCCATCTAGTGCAGTGACGTCATCGGAGGTAGATGGGTTGATGGCCATGTACATGTACTTAGTCTTCTTTGCGTTAAGAGAGAGACCAACGGACTTGCAGCAAGCTCCTATTTTATGGAGGAGAGATTCGGCATCAAGGAGGGTGTCTGCAAGCAGACTAATGTCATCTGCATAATCTAGGTCGGATAGATATTGGGCAGGGTGTCTACTACTCCTACGGCGTGAGAGGGTGAGACCATCGGTTACACTTAATGCTGTCCGTAGGGCATAATCCAGAACTATGATGAATAGGTACGGGGCGAGAGGATCACCTTGAAGAACTCCAGTGTTGACGGAGAACGAATCTGATTCACCTTCGGGAGTGAGAACAACAGCACTTGTATCGTCATACAAAATTTTGATGGCATTAGTGGTCTCCTCCGGGATACCGAAGGCATGCAGGATCTTAAACATTGATGGTCTGTCAACAGAGTCAAATGCTTTACAGAAATCGATGAAAAGATGGCAGCTTCCTTCTGGTGGTTACGAATTTCCTCAATAAGGCGCCTGAGGGCAAGGATTTGAGATGAGGTTGAACGTAGAGGCCGAAAGCCACTTTGATTGGGACGGAGTATCTTCTCAACTTCCGGACGAATGCGATTCAGAAGAAGTCGATTGTATACCTTGGCAGCAGTTTGAGAGAGGCTGATTCCCCGGTAGTTGTCTGGGATGGTGAGGTACCCTTTCTTTGGAACTGGGACGATGCCGGAAAAGCCCCATTCTGGAGGGCGGTTGCCTTCAAGGGTTGCATTGCAGAACCTTTTGAGATATTTCTTAAGTTTAGGAAGCCTCCAAACTTCAATAGGTATGTTGTCCAGACCAGGAGCCTTGCCAAGCTTCATTTGTTTAATGGCTATGTTGACCTTGGCTTGGGAGAATTTGCCAGTTGGGATGTTAGGGTTTGGATCAAAGACGGGATCAATGGAGACTGGGTCATTGGAGGCATTATCAGAGCTGAGAAGCTTCTCAAAATGGGATTTCCAAGAGGCAAGTCGATCATCACCTTGAATGAAAACGGTGTTTGGACGTTTACCAGAGAGCTGTTTTACCAGTTTCCAGGCATTTTGGATGGAGTTGGCCGATTCCCACTCGTCAAAAGCACTGAGGATGTTGTTGACTCTGAGGTCTTCTTGCTCGTCATATACACTACTGAGGTTGGATTGAGCAGCAGGAAGGTTGGTTGGTAAGGAGGTGAGTACCTTTGTTCGAGCTACATTGACTGGTGTCGATGATGCAATGCTAGGTGGTCGTTTGGTTTGTGATGGAAGGAGAGACTTCCCAACACTCTCACACACTTTGACGAAGGAGCCATAAGATTGGTCGTCAGGGCACAATGAGGACCACTCATGGGTGATACGGTCCTCAATAGAAGATGCAAGTTCTCTATCTGAAGCCATTGCAGACCAGTTCAGTATAGGACGGGCAGTAGGTTTTGTGGAACTGTTCTAAAGACGGCAGGACTCAAGTGTAGCATTCACTGAGAGACGTTTATTAACAGCCCGTAATAACATCATAGAATATGGATACGGTGGCCGCGTACTGCCACTCCATAACATCCCCTTTCCTTAAGATAAGGAACAGTCTTTTGTTGTTGCTGAACTTTTACTTGAGACTGAGTGTAAACCGTGGTCTGTTACAGTGGTGATCACGAACCCAAACTTTTTGTGAATAACTCAGCAAACATTATGAACGATTTAACACTAGAACGTATTTGGAACAGCTCTAAATCTTTAACACTACTTAGTATAAATAAGGTTAGTTTAAGAACAACTTTAGTAAAAGCAACTTAAACCAATAAACTGCATGCAAGCGTAGTCTATCTAAACTAAGTGTTGGCCAATGGCCCTAAGGCTTCGTGGGTGAGTGTCCCAAAGTCAGATTTATGACTCGATAAGTCTCTTTGGTGGTCTGGAAATGCGACCGGATCTGGTGATGGTAGCGTTGGTGTTCAGTCCTGGAGGTTTGTCTGTCGGAGTGGAAGGCACATCTTGTGCCTTAGCGACCGGAATGGCGGCACTCGAGTTGGGTGGCTCGGTGCTAGCTGGTTGCTGCATGAGCTGAGGTTCACTCACGCATGTGACTGGTGTTGTAGGTTGTTTAGCGTTTTCCCGACTGTCTCTGAGGTGAACGCGGTTGCGTCTGTAGCATTTGCTACCGACTTCTACGATGTAGCTGCGTGGCGCAACTTTGGCTTTTATCACTCCCGGGGTCCTGGGGAGCCTTCAACCTTGGGTCGAGTTTTGGCGCGAACTGGCTGTCCGACAACCAGATCAGGGAGGCTTTTGGAAGTGCGGTCGTGATACAGTTTAGCTGTCTGTCTTTTGGTCACGACTTGCTCGGTGACGGCATCTACAACCTGGGGCTTGTACAGTGAGCTCTTGCAAGGGAGGAATGAGCGCGTTCGTCGAGACATTAAGCGCTGTGCCGGAGAGCTAGACATTCCCGGAGTAGTGGGTGTTCCTCCATTCAAGGATAGCCTTCCACACGTCACTTTTGTTCTTGGCAGCTTTGGTCACAAGTCCCTTGGCGAGTTTGACCGTGGACTCTGTTTTTCCGTTGGATTTGGAGTGGTAGGGGCTTGAGTTAGTGTGTTCAAAGTCCCAGTCATTCGCGAACTGAGTGAACTCGCGTGACACGTAGTTTGATCCGTTGTCTGCGATCAAGGTGTGAGGAATGCCGTGGGTGGCAAACACTGGCTTCAGTTCCTTGATTAGCGATTTGGAAGTCATGTCTTCCAGGGCGCGCAAGTTGATGTAGTCTGAGTAGAGGTCTACTAGTACGCAGTAGTTTTGTCCATTGACCTCAAAACAGTCACTCGCGACTAGTTGCCACGGTTTCTTGGGTACTGGGTGTTTCATGAGGGGTTCCTTGGGGAGAGCTGGTTGTGACTCCTGGCAGATTGCGCAGCGTTGGACTGCCTCCACCAGTTCTGTGTGCATACGTGGCCAGTACATTATGTCTCGTGCAGTGTTGATGGTGTACTGCACGCCCATGTGAGATGCATGTGCCCTTGCTGTAATGTCTGCACGGAGAGCTGTTTGGATTACAATACGCGTTCCGCGAAAGATGAGCCCATTTTGTGTTAACAGCTCATCTCTGTATGGCCAGTATTCCCTGATACACAAGGGAACTTGAGCCTTGTCCCCTGGTCAGCCTGCTTGGATGACCTGCATCAGCGTTTGTAGGGTTTGGTCAGCGAGCATTGCCTTTTTGACTCTCTGCAGACGCTCGTCTGTGACGAAGATGGTTGGTTCCATGTTCTCCAACTCCATGTTGAGCTTCTGCTCCTGAGTGATGGAGAAGATCAGAGAGTCTGGTGTCTGATCTGTGACTTGTCGTGTTGGCAACAATGCTCGCGACAGTGTATCGCTCAAGTACATTCGCAAACCCTGCTTGTACTCTACGTGTAGTGAGTACTTCTGTAGGCGGAGTCGCATACGTTGTAGACGGGCTCACCAAGATTGGCTTTCTGAAGATGTTCATCAGAGGTTTGTGGTCGGTGAGCACGAGCACTTTGTCGCGGCCTAGGATGTATTGCTCAAAGCGCTGTGGGGCGAATACGATTGCCAAACACTCTTTTTCTATTTGAGCATAGTTGCGTTGTGTGGCTGAAAGTGCTCGTGAGGCGTACGCGACTGGGCGGCCATTTTGTGTGATGACGGCTCCTAGCCCAACCTCGGAGCTATCACACTCGATCGCGACGTCTTGGTTGACATCATAGTAGCTCAGTACTGGTGCTTTATTGATGAGCTTCTTGATCTTGTCCAGGGCCTCGTCATGATGTGTCAACCAGTCAAATATGACGTCCTTGTCGGTGAGACGTCTGAGTGGCTCGCATTCTGTGCTCATTTCTGGCAAGAATTTAGCCAGATAGGTTACCACTCCGCTGAGTGTCAGCCCACCCTGGACGTCTGTGGGGCGAGGCATGTCGAGTATGGCCTTGATTTTCTCCGGGTCTGGAGATAGTCCGTCTGAGCTCAAGACGTGTCCCATGTATGTGACACTGGGTAGTTTGTACCGTAGCTTGGCTGCGTTCAGCTTCAGATTCCGCTCTCTGCATCTCGAGAGAAGAGCGGTGAATACGGCGTCGTGTGAGGCTTCTGCTTCAGCCTGCGTTTCTCCTGAGCCGTAGACTAGGATGCCATCTGCAATCACTGCGATGTTTTCCAGGCCTTCCAGGCACTTATGGAGCCTGCGCTGGAATTCTTCCGGTGCTGATGAGATACCAAAGGGCATCCTCAACCAGCGGAAACGCCCGTAAGGCGTCCAAAATGTTGTCAGATAACTGGAGGGCTCATCAAGGACGACTTGAAGAAAGCCGTCCTTGGCATCTACCACCGAGAAGAGCTTGGCGTTCCTTCAGTCTTGGGGCTACTTCGTCTACGGTGGGAATGGGGTAATGGTTGCGCTTAATGGCCTTGTTCAGGCCGTGTGGATCCAAGCATACCCTGATTTTGTTTGGCTTTCTGACGACTACCATGTTGTGGATCCACTTGGTAGGCTCAGTCACCCTGGCAATGGTGCCTTGGGCTGTCATGCTGTCTAGCTTTCGTTTCAGCTCTGCCCGCACCGGGATGGGTACTCTGCGCCTGGTGTTCTGCGTTGGAGTGACACTGTGATCAATGTCTATGTGGTAGTGACCTGGTAGCCGACCAAGGCCAGTGAATACGTCTTTGTACTCACTGAGGACCTGTTCCTTGGTTTGAGTCGGTGACTCTGTCACTGCATGCACTAAGCACTCCTGTGCGAACTCCATTAGTCCAAGAGCTTCTGCTGCTTTACCTGACAGCAGAGATGAGGGGGCATCCTCCACGATCTCGAAGTGGATTTTCCTGGTGACCCCTTTGATCTGGCATCTCAAGCTGGCAGCTCCAACAGGATGAATTATTGTGCCATTGTACAGTTTCAGTTTAGTCTTTGATTGCACCGGAGGCGTGTCACTGAGCTGCTTGTAGACTGCCAGCTTCATGGTGCTGCAAGTTGCACCAGAGTCTAGCTGAAATTTGATGGTCTTTGTCAGATCCCTTGTTGGCGTCTCCACTGCTAGCTCAACAGAGTATTGCTGCTTGGGCTTTGACTGCACTGTATAGATGCTTTCGTCGCTGCCGCTTTCGTCTCCATCCATTTGGTGGAGCTTCTGTGTGGATTTCTGTGGCTTACGTTTGGTGCGGTCTTTGCCCGATGACTGGCAAACCTGCGCATAGTGGTTGCGTTTTTGGCACTTAGAGCAAGTTGTCCCGTAGGCTAGGCACTTGCCTTTGCTGTGTGATTTGCCACAGTATTTTCAATTTATTTTCGGAGGCTTGCTGGCTTTTCAAGATTTCTGTGTCCGCTGCTTGTTTTTCACAAAGTGTGCTGTCTCTGCCTCTACTGGATCCATCTGCTGAAGGTGGATCGCTGCCTGTTCACTGCTGCGGCATATGTCTATGACTTTCTGCAATGTCAGTGACGACTCACGCAGCAGACGAGCACGGATGTTGTTGCCTACTACTCCTATGACCAGCCTGTCTCGGAGCATTTCATCGAGAAGCGCTCCATAATTGCATGTGGTTGCCAAATTTCTCAGCCTGTTCAAGAAAGTGTCCATGTTCTCTTTGGGCTCTTGCTTACAAGAGTTAAACATGAATCGTTCATACACCACATTGCGTTTAGGGTCAAAATGAGCTCCAAGGCTGGTTAGGATTTGCTGTGGTGACTTTCTCTGTTCCTCTGTTAGTGGCAGATTTTCGTACACTTCATAGCACTCCTTCCCCATAACTGTGAGTAATGTAGCCACATGGATGGAAGTATCTTTCTTATCCAGTTTTGTGGCCACTAGATGGTTCTGCCAACTTGCCTTGAAAAATTGCCAGTTGGAAACCTGGTCTCCTTTCATGTCCATTTTCGCCGGTGGGGGAATGAGCGAGTGCGCCATGGTTAATATGCAGTGCGTGCGTAATGTACACCGCGATGTGTCCGTTACAGGCCTCCGTAGTTTACAGCGAAACGCACGTTGACGACAATGGCGTGAACTCAACGTGCAATGTATACGTACATGTACAGTCTATCGTTCACAGTGTAATACGCACGTGTTCAATGGCGGAAAATCCGCGTGAAAATTGTACAGTTTATCGTTCTCTTGCACAGCCTACCATGTGTGACAGGATCATGCAGTCTGTGCTGCCGACGGATGCCTTGTGATCCGTTCACCAAGATTGCCGAAGATTTTGCCGGTTCTTTGCGGTAATGGCGCTGGATTCAGCTAATTTCTGACACCATGTTCTAAAGACGTGTAGCATTCACTGAGAGACGTTTATTAACAGCCCGTAATAACATCATAGAGTATGGATACGGTGGCCGCGTAATGCCACTCCATAACAGGAACGAAGACTGAGCCTTATCTTAGCACAGACTATACGATGGTCGGAGCCAATTGGGTCAGATGTTGAATACGCTTGAGAATCTAGGATGCTGTTTCTCCAACGTTTATGGCACAGGATGAAGTCAATCTGTGACAGGTACTTGTTAGGTGAACGGTGAGTCCAGAGCTTTTTGGAGGACTTCTGAAATAGTGTGTTGTTAATCAGAAGGTTGTTACGATTGACAAAGTCACTGAGGAGCTGACCATTACGGTTGGTAGTAGAGTGGTAGGAGAACTGCCTTGCAACATGAGCGTTGAAGTCCCCTCCGATGACAAGGAGGGCATGTAGGGGAATGGAGGCAATGGTGTCATTGAGAAATTTGTAGAACCCAGTAATAGACGCCTCATCACTAGTGTTAGTGGGAGAGCTCTCAGAGTAACAGGAGACAACGTATGTCTTGGGATTGCCTTTGAAGATGGCGAGCATAATTCTGTCGTTGATTTTAGAGATAAAAGTCAGCAGCGGGAGCAGTGATGTTTGAACAGTTATTGCTACTCCACCAACGGCTGCACCTTGTCGATTCCGAGTTGCAGAAGAGGTGAAGATGGTTGATGATCCTAAACTAGAGATTCGGATATCAGGGTCTTCAGGTCGATGCACTTGACGGTGCTCTTGGATGCAGGTAACAGATAGGTTGTAGTCACATATGTGTTTATTAAGTTCCTCTCTTGATGACAGCGAAGAGAGACTTCGACAATTAAGCTGACCAAAAAAGGATGGTTTTTCTAGGTCGAGCAAGACCCTTCCGGAGACTATTTTTATCAGACGATGCACTCCCAATAGGGTTTCGGACGCCGTCGTCATAAGACAGAGTGTCTATAGTTCCATGAGAGGGCAGATTTGAAGCAGGGGCTTTAACCCTGGTGCTGTAGGTTGAACTCATCATGTTTTCTATTATTATAGTATTAGTTTTCTTTGGTAAACAAATACGGAAGCCAGTTCGTGCCTGGTTTTAAAAGCGAAATAACCCCTAGTATAGTTTTGCAAAAAAATAAAATAAATTTGCGAAATAACGTAATATTGTGAGGTAACGCAATAGTTTTTCAATCCTCAGAGTGCAGTATTTCGCAATACTATTGCGTTATTTCACAATACTATCGTGTTATATTGCAATGCTATTACATTAAAACCCGGTTCATACTCGGCGCGAAAGCGAAAGCAAACGCGAATTTGTGACGTCATGGCAAGTATTCGCGCTGCGAATTCGCAAAAGTTGAACAGATTTCAACTCGGGCGAATATCGCAGCGAAGTTTCATGACGTCAAATTCGCTTTGCATTCGCATGAAGTATGAACAGGTCTTTAAAGGCTTGGCGCGAATTTATGACGCCAGGGCAAGTGATGCCAGGGCAAGTTTCGCAGCGAACGCTTTATTTCTCCATACTATTACGTTATTTCGCAATATATTTTATTGCATTTCTTTGCAATGGTACGTATTGCATAATTAACTTTTGCAATGGTTTGCAAAACTATTGCGTTATTTTGCAATACTACTGGGGTTATTTTACAATACTGTGCACAATACTATCGGCGCGAAAGCAACACGATTTTGTGACGCCTTGGCAAGTTACGCCAGGGCAAGTTTCGCATTAT